ATCTAGATTAAAAGAAGTCCTACATTGTTCAAAATTAAACAAATATTGTTATCTTTCACAGACAAAACAACTGTTCCCAAGAGACAGAATTCAGAATTTTCACTTACACCTCTCTTTTGAGTCAGCTGTATACTGTAGTCCTGACAGAAAACTTCATTTGAAAAAAATTCTTCTCACTTTACTGACTCAGAGTCAGAATTAAAACAGTACAACAGAAGAAGTATCAGTAAGACACAATAGTGAAATGTTGCATTATTAATTGCCACATTAAAAAGGTGGGAAAATGATGAAAGAACAACTACAAAAATCATTTAACGTGAAATATTTGTCTGTGTGTGACTTAAACATGCTCAATCTGTTAAATTTATCAAAAAGAAATATTCAGTGCTTGTTTATGTTGGCATATATCAGATGCTAAACTACTACAGTTTAAGGCAAAAGATGTAAGAATTGATGGCTGGAAATAGAATCCAGGTGAATTCAAGTTTAGAATTAGGGACAAATTTTAATAGTAGGATGACTAGCTGTTGAAGCAGCCTTCTCACAAGTGAAGAACTATTCTTTAATACTGGCAGTCAGATAGAAGATACTGGACTTAGAATAGTCCTGTAATACATAAAAATTCAGACTAGGTGATCTAGTGCTTTCTTCAGGCGTTATCCCATGAATCTATTTCTTCTCAGTTACAACAGCAATAAGAAAGCAGAGAAGATTATGCTTTCATAAAACCATTTATTAAATAAATAAACAAGTGAGCCAACAGACTAATTCAGGTGTAGTGCTTTGTACCAAGAACAGCACTACAGTATATGCCAAAGTTTAACAAGCGTAAGTGTTGTCCAGAAAGGGACATATTTGTTCAGATAGGAATTAAATTACTTTGCCTTTCCAACTGTAGAAAGGTATTTGTTGCAAAACTTGCAATTTCTTGAATATTCTGAATATTTTACATGCTAAATATTGTTAGAAAGACTTGCCTTCTGATTTTTATATAACCCACGCATCACTCTTTCGTAGACATATATAGCAGTAGAAAACCAATACAAACAAAAAAGCTAAAAAAAAAAGCTTTACTACTCTGAACAGCACTCTGAAAAATACCAGTTGTCTTCAGAAGTAAAAAATGTAGTTAAAAGTGAAAAAGTCTGGATGTTTCAGCTGTTTCTTAAAGGAATTCAATTACAAGGGGCTGGCCCATCATTTGTACTCATCTTTTATTGTATCAATATATGACATAGTAGAGTCCAGTTAATTCCTTAATTGTTTTCCTGCACTTCCATGACAACACAGCACAATACTATGTGATAGTTTTAAATAAAGCATCTACTTAAATGTTAAATATTCTCACAAAAATGCCCAAAAAACACAACCTACATATAAATTATCTTACTTTAAACAAGAGAATAAAACTTTTGATCATGTTTAGGTGTCCAGCTCCAGTGAAATTAATTGCATCTATACTTACTTACATAATAATTTGTTTAAGATACTTAAACAACTTGTCCTGGTTTGGGCTGAAATAGAGTTAATATTCCTTTTCAGGGACTAGATGAGTGCTGTGTTTTGGATTTAGCTTTGGGTTTGGGATGGGAAGAATGCTGATAGCACACTGATGTTTTCAGCTGCTACCGAGACTTCAAGGACTCTCCGACTCCCCATGTCCTGCCCGTGTGCAAGGGCACAGGGAGCAGGGAGGGAGCACGGACAGAGCACCTGACCCAAACTGGCCAGTGAAATATTCCATATCATGGAACATCATGCTCCCTATAGAGAGGAGGGGTGGTTGGGAAGGAGTTCTCTCTCTCTCACTCTCTCTCTCTCTCTCTCTCTCTCTCTCTCTCTCTCTCTCTCTCTCTCTCTCTCTCTCTCTCTCTCTCTCTCTCTCTCTCTCGCTTCTCTCTCTCTCTCTCTCTCTCTCTCTCTCTCTCTCTCTCTCTCTCTCTCTCTCTCTCTCTCTCTCTCTCTCTCTCTCTCTCTCTCTCTCTCTCTCTCGCTTCTCTCTCTCTCTCTCTCTCTCTCTCTCTCTCTCTCTCTCTCTCTCTCTCTCTCTCTCGCTTCCGGGATTGCAATTGTGGGATCTTGGTATCTCGGGGTCGCTGGCCGGGAACGGGCTGGGGATTGGTCAGCGGGTGGTGAGCAATTACTCTGTACATTGCCTGCTTATATATTTCTTTTTGGTTTTTTTTTCCCTATCATCATAATTGTTCTCGTTTTATTGCCATTATTAAACTGTTCCTATCTCAGTCTATGAATCTCCCTTCACTCCTCTACTTCCCTCCCCCATTCCCAGGTGGGAAGGGGGAAGGGAGGGTGACCAGCTGCAGTGGTTGGTTGCCAACCAGGCCCAAACCACGACAAACTGATGCAACCCAGTTTCTTATGAGTCCTATGCCTCCCATTCTGGGTCAACAGCCTCAGGTCTTCTCCGTGACTTCACTGCCTGTCTCCACATATCCCAGACTTCCATGATAATTTCCCCACACTTGCCTGTCACTTATCTACTTTTGTTTTGCCATCAGAAGGGGAAAAAAGCAGCAAATCCTATGGTGAGTTTGAACTATATGCTGATTTACCAGCCAGTAGCTGACAAAAGCAAAAAACAACATTTGAGTTCAGTCTATTTTGCCCTGCTCTCTCTCCTCTACATACCCACTCAATTTTTTAACAGATCTTGAACTAACTTAATTTTGATACCTCTAGTGATGAAAGATTATCAGATTGGCTTGAGATTGATCAACAGTTTCAAAAGTCATTACAACCAGAGAGAGTATGATTAGGTAAGACTAACCTGAAGAGAACATTGTGGTTAGTGAAACTGGATAGATTAAAATTAAAAAAGAAACTGAGACACAAAGATTATAATACCAAACTAGGCTAGATAATCCTGCAGTGATATCATTTCATAGTTTATGCATTTTGCAGCCCATAAACACCAAACTGTTATATTAAACAGCCTATTTTATTTTACTTTGACAGGACTGCTGAACGTGCATAGAAAAGAACAAATGCTTCACCTCCAATATTGCTTCACCAGCTTCAGAGATATTTCCTTAACATATATGGTTAATTTTATATTGAACAACTAATTACAGATAATTATACTATTGGAATCAAATGCTCATAATCTACCAAATAACTCTGAGTTTAAACTATGTTATGAGCTGTCTTCAGGCACCAATCCTATAATGAGTTAAAATGGAAAAAACTATATGCAACATTCAAAAACTTGGGGCAGAAAGGATAAAAATGGATATTGTAAATGTATCCAATCCGTAAGAGGATATTAACCATTTGTTGTAAAAGCACAGATGTAGTAACCAATCTCCAAGACATCACCGCATCTTTTACAATTTTCTTTTTAACTTCCCCCCCCTTCACAACAACAGCACTTGTTCATATATCAGCCTCAATTAGTGGCTGAAGGGAATGCGATGTGGGTCATTCCAAGTTTCATGCAGGCTGATTACAAGCCAAAACCAAGAAAGTCACTCACACAATCCTACTGAAACCTTTGCCTGGGAGGTAAATTCTAATTTTAAAAGGGATTACGTAAATTAGCTCACACTTGATACATCTCATCTATAATTCATTGACTTAAGTGAAATACAGTTACTCACACTGGTGCTGCAGAAGTTAGCACTGCATTGACAGAGGAAGTTGGATTGTTCCAAGGCTCATACATGTACTGACCAAGTGGAAAGACAAAGTCATTCCCTTTTGACAACTATTGACACTCGTTACAAATCTGACCTCACCTACAAAATTGCAGAGGAGCAAAATACTAACTGTCTATTCTGTAGATACATTGATGACTAGGATAAACAAAAATCACACTAATGCACAGGTCTTAAGTAGTTTTGCAGATTTGATGTTTTTCTCACCTACCCAGAAAGTCTCTTGCTTCTTTACTGCACGTGTTAAGCTTTAAATAAAGTCTCCATGTTTATTGTCCAGCCTCGATTCTCCCACAGCCTTCCTGCACTGGCACTTAATGGGAATATGCCAAGAACAACACTCCCACTTCTTCCCACCGACGTCTGTACAGCCTGGCTGCTGCTCTATTTAAATAGTTCAAAGGGTATGAAAAAGCTGCTTTAACTGTAACACGTTGCATAAAAATATCGTCAAAAGAAGTATCCTACACATTTAATGGTATAGTGTGAACTGAGTTTGTTCAGACTAATATTTAGGGATTTTGCTAACTAGGATTGACTGAGATTACAAAACCTGAAGTTTACATTGCCAACCTAAATTTTTACAAGAGGAAACGTCTTGACACCATTAAAAGTCTGTATCCTGAGCTTATTTTTTTTCATTAAGAGAATGTTTTTCCTTCCCCTTTAGGACACGTATTTTCTAGAAAGAAACTACCGTCTTACTCCGCACATAGGGTCGGGACAACCTGTAGGTGAGGCGAGCAGGGGGCGGGATGGCCCCCGCTGCGCCCGCGGCTTTCTCCCCAGCCACACGCTGCCGCAGCCGCCGGGCCGGGGGAACCGCCGACGAGCGTCGGCCGAACGCCGGGCCGATCCCCCGGGGCCACGGGGCCGGAGCTAAACTCTGCCTCCGGGGCGGGCTGGGCAGGCTGCAGCGGGGGAAGGCGGACGGTGCGCCTCGGCTCTTCCCGCAGCTGGAGGTGGAGCCCCTGAGGGGAGAGGCGGCGTCGGGCGGCCCAGACTGCCGCGCTACGAGCGACGGAGGGAGGGCAAGGAGGACCCCGGCGTCTTCTCGCATCTGGAGGCGGGATCCCTGAGGGGAAAATGGGGGTGAAAAGATGTTCCCGCTCGCCCCGGGCCGGGAAGGAGCGCTGGAGGGCGGCCGGAGCCGCTACTTACTGAGCCCAGCAGCGGCCTCGCAGCTCCGGAGCGCCGCCGGTCACCATGGAGACGGCGTCGGGCCTCGACTGCGGCTCCGCTTCCTGCCGGTGCCATCGTCACTGCTGCCCGGGCGGAAACAGGCAGAGGCGGCCCCACGCGCCCCTCTGCCCCTCTCGCCGCGCTACAGGCGCAAAGCGCCACGCGGCGGCGTTGTTTCCTGCCGGACGAGTTATGTGGGGGGGCACCGGGCGACCCCGTTGCCGGGCCGGAGGTGCGGGTAGGTGGGTGTCTGCGGCTGCCGCGGGGCCGCGGGCGGGCAACGGCCGGGGGACGGGGACGGGGATGGGGGGGGGGGGGGTCGGTCGGTCGGTCCTTGCGCCCCAGCCCCCGCGCTGAGGCGGCGGCAAGCCTCCGGCGGCCTCCCCGGCCTCCGCGCAGCCGGCTTTGTGGGGCGGTGAGCGGTGGAGGGGAAGCGCGGCCCCGGGCGGCCTTTGCCTTTTCGCGTGTGTTTAAAACACCTCGTGGGTTCCACAGGGAGGAAGGTGTGGGGCGGGAGGAGTGTGCGTGGTGCTTCCCCAGGGGAAGAGCGGGGAGCACCCTGCAGTCGGCTCTGCCGAGTCTGTAAAACATACTTTTCTTCCCCCATGGAAAAAGGGCTTATTCTGAAGAATGACGGTAGTCACCAAAAACTGGATTTAGTGCTGAAATGGAAAAAAAAAAATAAAAAAATCCTTTCTTTCTGTCTTTCTTTCTGACTTTCTTCAATAAAAAGCCCAGAATTGTAGAACTTGAAATTACAAAGCAGGTCTCATTTCTTGTCAGAAAGTTAATGATAAATAAGCTGCTATAAGTTTGGGATTTCAGTGCATTTAGGAATCTGCTCGAAGCTCAAACAATGCTGTACTGTTACTGGCATTTGATCCTCCTGTTTATTTGTTTTGTTCTGGATCATTAGCTTGATGATAGATGACCAATAATGAAAAGCACCCAACTAACATCATGAGTCTCAGTGAGGTTTTACTTAGTGGCCTGTGCTAACTTTATATGGTTTTGTTCATTTTTGTTTGTTTATTTTTATATGCTCTTTTCCTTTAATATTGAAAGAGCTAAGCCTTCTTACCCAGCAGCCTGAAGGAGGGTCCATAAGGTGAATATTGAGGAGTGAAACCTGAACCGTAGCTTTTTGTCTTCTTGCATGTATCTCATACCAGAATTGATGAAGTCTCACACTTTATGTACTTCATTTTTCATATATTAAGTACATTATTGCTTCAAAATAAAAAGTGTATATATAACCTGGGTAGATTCAAAATAGTTCAGACAGTTAAAATGCAAAATGATTTTAAAGGAGTATGGACAGCTAAAACATGATATACTAAGGAACTGGGACAAGAAACACAACATAAATCACTTCACATATGACAATCTGTGGGATGGAATGGCCATGTGAATTAGGCTGTTTTTTTGCACTATAGATTTTACATGGGGTGTAGATGTGCTTAAGGGCTGCAGTCTTTCATGATCCTGTAGTTTGTCACATTTCCCCATTTTTGCTTTTTCTAACTGTTTCTCTTTCAAAATGTAATTATATGTATTTAATTTTCTTACACAGTGCTAAGAAAGTAATTTTGAGGCCAGTCAGACTATGGCCTTTGAAAGGATAACACAAAAGGACTGGTACAAAATCCTCGGTGCAAAGCCATCGGACAGTCTAGCAGAACTAAAACGGAAGTACCAAAAACTTGCTTTATTAGTAAGTATGTTTTTATTATTTAAGATGCGCAAAAATAAATTTAAAAACCACTAAGATAATAATTGCAGATTTTGCTTTTACATTTTTTGTATAAATATGATTAATCAGAATACATTTATATTATCAGTTCACTGAGGCTGGTTTAAGTTTGAAATAAACATCTGGAGTTTGAGTTATCATTATATTTTGCAAAGAGTGGTTGTGGTATTCCAGTTCCAAAATACTGATAAGTCTCCTAGCTTTGCTAAACATCCATGAATGAACTAAGCCAAATACTTGTTCATCAGGTGCTGGATAATCAAGTGCACAAGTCAAAAAAGGTCACTGTTCATAGCACATAGTCATAAAATTTGCTAATTGATAGGTGTGGTATTTCCTATTGTGTGTGCGGTTACAGTATACTGAATGCAGCCCTTGAATATATAAGAGCTAGATGCAAAGAACAAAAGTTCTTCCTGATAGTCTGCAGTAATGGAATAGAAAATGTATAGGGGGAAAATATGTTAATATAAATTTTTTTAAAAGTTTTGGATGCATTTTTGTAGATTCATGGTTTTGGTCATGCATTAAGACTTGATGTTCTGTGAATTCTATTTAATTTTTCCTGTACTCCTGGTATACATGTACAAGAATCTTGGAGCTCTATCAGATTACTTCTTACAATTCTGAATTCTTCTGCTTTACTTCTTGCCCTGAATTCAGGCTTTTTGCTCAAAAGATGCTTTGGCCTGCCTTTCTGAGGAAAATGGAATGTATTTTTTTTATACTCTTGACCATTTTCAACCAGATTTGATAAGCAAATAGAATTCCCAAGGTAACTAAATTCCTAAATTTCTTGAGAAGTGTCAACCTGGTAGAGAAGAAGGTGAGCAGAACTCAGTTTTTATATATTCCCTTAGATAACTGCCAGCTAGACTGTCAGTACTGGCAGGGCATTAGAGAGCACATACATGGCTAGTCTTGCTTGGTTTGAGGTGTCAGAATGAAAGTGATAATAAGTTAGGATTTTTAAGTGAGGTAAAGAGAATATCAGTCCATGGGAGACTGAGTTTTGTTAGAGTTGAAATAAATTCATGGGTGGGGTTTTTTTGTTTTGTGGGTTTTTTTTTGTTGGTGTCTTTTTTATTTCTAGCCCCTGTGAAAACTGTTTTAAAGGTCATTTCAGCAGTATGTTCCAAATCTACATGTTTTGATACTCTTTAGTTGCATTCACTGAGCAATCCTGCAGTACATCTACTTCTTGGTGCTCCCTGCTGACTTATTTCTTTGTCTGAAACTGATCTGTGTACTTAGAGTATGATGTTTCAACACTTTACAAGATGTTTGTATGCAGGTATAGGCCATTAATCCTTTGATCCTACTTGTTAAACATTAGAAGAATCAATGTAGAAGAGCACTTTGGAAACCAACCTTCTTAGTTGTGCTCTTAATAGAAATAGTTGATTTCTTGGACCTTCTGATGTTTTTGTTTTACTGAATTAACTGGTAAAATGTACATAAAATATTAATAATGATCTACTTGTCCTTAATGAAAACAATAGAGGACTGCAGTGTAAAATACCTCTTCTGTTCAGATAAGGGGCTAATTTAGACTGAATACAGTAATGCAATTAATATATTTCTTTCACTATGAATCTACGTATAATAATGGAATTAAAGTCAGATGTAAAGTATTGTTTGCCACAGAACTGAAACTATGTAGTGCCTTTCCTGTATAAATATTTTTAAATGAAATTGACCTTTTGTGTTATAGCGCTGTACTTTTATGCAATTATTTGAAGGGTATGAGTGAGACTTGTTGGAGTTTACAACTGTCTGTTTACATCTATAACTAGTTTTAGAAGATGGAAATATTATTTTAATATACAAGCTTTTCTTTAGAATCTGACTATTTCCGAACTAATTGGTTAATGCTCTTTATTTGAAAAGTCAGTGAGAAATGTTAGAGAAATTAAGTTTGTTTGGGTTTTGTTTGTTTGTTTTCCTGTTTGGCTTAGAATTCTTTTCCTATCTGTGATGGAACTGTTTTACTAAAAAGCCACACTGATGTTTACTTATAGGTGTTTTCTCGAGGCAGATCTGCTGCTTGTCTGTTGTTGTTACCATATGTCCTGTCTCTATTAATCTTTCTATTTTAGCTGAGATGTTACAGACTCAACTTGTTCATCCACTTACTAATACAGCATCTAGCATAGACAGTCTAAAGTATATAAAGGTATGGTGGTAATAAAACAGTAATTATTTTTATGTACTCTAAGAACTCATTGGCTATAGGAGTGACTGGAGACTACATACCTTCACTAAAAAGTGTACATAGTTACAGCATGAAAATCATTGCCATAGATGTTGTTGAGTCCAACAGGTTCCATGGTTGAAAGAGTTGTTAGATGTTTATGAAAGAAAAGTCTGCCGTGGCTTGCTAAGACAAAAAATACTCTGATTCAGAAATCCATGAGCTATGGACTTCTGAATAATGGTGGAATATATAAGGGAGTTGTATGTTTGTCCTCTCTGATACTATTCCCTAGGCATCCACTGTTCATTGTTAGGAAGAGCACGGCACTGGCTGGACCGCTCACCCTGCGTGTTGTGCCCAATCCATATGAAGTAATTCCCTTGCTCCCCAAGTAAAGCTTGTACTTGGAGTTCCTGGTAGCTTCACACCTCTTACTGACAACATGTTCATTTTGGTTTTTATAAAGCTGTTGTTGAAGATAGTGGTGGTAGAATTAGTAGTGTTGGTGTGATCTACATGCAGGTGTTTCTATGTATCGTGGTAATAGTCAATATCAGAGTGACTCCAGTGTAGACGCTGGAATAGCAGGTGAGCGCAGCTGTGTATTGCCTATTAAAAGATTTCATGACCAATTATATAGTCAGTACAGAAAGTTTTCTGGATTATGTATAGCAGCAGAAGTACCTTTAAATCCAAAAGTTTATGAAGCAACTTGCATTTTGGATACCAATCGCAATTAATGTGACATTCATTCTATAATTGTGAATATTCTCATCACACATGTTCATTAGCATCAAGCATAACGGATGGTGGAATTTATTTTCTAAAATAATTCTTCTGTTAAAATAAAAATGGCAAATGTCTGAGTCCAAGCCTCCTTCAAATGATCCCCAATGCTTCATGTTGAGCATTTGCTTTTTGCCATCTGCTATTTTCTGTTTGTCAACACATGTATGCTTAGCATCTTGAATGAACAGGCAGATGTAAATTTCGAAAGCTAAGAAGAGTTGGAGATCTTGCCATATGTCATCCAAAAGATAACTATATTTCTAGTTAAATCTCAGGACTGACCTTAATAATACAAAGTGGTACACAATTAGAAGTGGTTGAACTGTAGATTTGTAAGAATTATTTCATAAGGGGAAATGAGCTTAAGACTAATTAATTTTTAAAATAGAATTTATGTTTGTCAATTCCAACAAATTGATGATGGAATACGTTAATAACACATAACAAATAAAACTGTGCATATTCACCCTACTGGAGTAAATATATTTACTTAATGTTTTACCGTATTTTGCTTTGCTGTACTTACTTTTTTCATTTGGTCAGGTCACAACATATGTTTTAAGTGAATTATTTTACTACAGATAATGTCAATTCCATCTTTAAGAATTTGATACAGAAAATAGTACAGGTTTGGCTTAAAAGTAGTAATATATTTTAATCAGGTTTATTTTTCCTTCTCACCTTCTAAGTATTTAAGTAGAAGTTTATACGATTTTCTTGCAACTTAACTAAACTTTATTTCTTTTAAATTCTTGTCTACTTATGTGACTCTCATACCTGGATCATTTTGCTACTTTATGTATTATTATGTAATAATCAATAGCAGCTGAAGATGACAGCCTTTTGGGTACAAGACTCGTGTAACACTGGCAATTCTATAAATAGCATATTTTTAAAACAGAATCAAACTTCTGTGTATGCTGGCTCATAGTCCAGTGTCTTCTGTAGCATAGAGCTTCAGCCAGTAATTCTGAAAGAAAAAAAAAAATAAGAATTAGAAATGTGTATTTTGTAACCAACATATCTCAGTGCAGGATTCCTTGATTGGCTGTTTTAAGTTCTTGCTAAAGTGCTTTCTACATACTGTGAAAGGAATTGCAACAAAGAGAATTTGAGAATTAATGTTGTCTATGTAGTAGAAGTTTGGTCTTTAATCTTCTGTCTTTAGAACATACTGATGGTTTTGAGATATTTGGGATACATATAGCCTTTTTATCCACAATTAACATACACGGGAGTTTCAACAAGATTTCTTAAATGAATAAACAGGTTTTCTACTCTAGACTTAGTTTTTCAAGGAATTCATGCAGCTTTTGGGAAAGACAGTGCTTATGTTCTGTTCTTAATGTGTGTAGAATTAACAGAGGATGAAATTAGAGTAACAAAAAGAGGATATTGCGGAAAAAATGTCACCATCTTATTGTTGACACAATTTTTACATCTCCTTTTGGTCTAGCACTCTGTGGTTAAAGAATGAGTTGCCAGATTGTTTTCAAATTTCCATGTAGCTGCTCTATATCTGAAAATGACTTTGTACAGGGAATAAAGTCACCAAACGCATAAGCTTTGTCTAGCTGAAAATCAGGTGTCTGTTCCTGTTGATGCTGATAATATTATAGGATACCTTTCAACTGGAAAAAAAATTATTGTGCAGGAAAATTATATGCTGTTGTTACAATGTGTGCCCTAATCTTAAAGAAAATCTATGTAATTTGAGCAGGGAGTATGCAGGAAGCTCTTATTTTTAATATGGTAAGGAAATAAAATGTGCCATTTAACACATAGTGTTACAAAGATTATCTTTTATCAGAAGAGGTGGTGTGTGTATAGAAATACAAACAAAGTATTAAGGTAATCACTTAATCTGTTTGAAAGAGTAGAAAAATTGGAAACAGAGCATCAGGCACAGGTGAGTGACTCTCAGCAACAATAAAAAAAGGACATTAATAGAAATTTAATTTAATGAAGCAAAATA